GAGGACTCTTGAGGTAAAGATACTGCTTAATGACAATCATCTCTAAGTGGCATGAGGTCGACCAGGTGAGGTACACCTGGTGTCCTTTTTCTGATAGAGGCCCCGGTGTGGGTGTGAATTTGGACATCTTGCCTGGAAAGGATTCCATTAGGTCAGATAGAATTTCATATCAGCCCTGGTCATAGGTTACCATGGGGTACATTTTGCCTCCATGAAGAAAGAGTGGAGAGGTAGAGTTGGCTAGGGTTGGGGAAGAAAATCAGTTCAGGTCACGTTTAAACACGAATCCACCAAATTTCCACTTTCCATACACGAATGGAAACACAACCATCCTTCAAAATGTGCATACCTGCACATGCCTTATAAAAGAAGCAGCCATTGCCAAGTGCTGAAATATACCTTCCACTAAATCTATAGAACTGATATTCACAATCAGTATCATTTGTTCTCTTGGAAGCGCATGTGTGTGAGAGAGGGTCTGATTTCTTTGGACTAGTAGGAGTAACCCAGACCTATTAGCCCTTTTCCAATAAATCTTTCCTGTGTTCAGTTTTCTATCTACAAGTATCATAAATTCAGAGAGAGTTTCGTTTCATATAGTGCTTATGGTGGAATTCTCTTAATGGAAATTATTTTTAAGCTTATCCCAGAGAAGAATTTGTTAAAGATGGAACACAGGGAAATTTTGGAGAGGTATGGAAAGAATGGAAAACAGGCAAAGAAGTTTAAAAGGAAAAGGACTAGATATGGTAAATTAAACCACATGTTTACTGTATAATCTAGTTTAGTCCTAAACTAGAGTACATCCTTGAAAGCCTGACAAAAGAGGAAAACTTTTATTTTATTTTTACTAATTTGGACTTCAGAGGATTAATTAAGGAATTTATTCAATAACAGGGAGGCTACAGCTGAGAAAACCTTGTCCCAGCATTCAAAGTTATCACTTATCTTCTGGTAGGAACCCATAGCAAGCTGTACAAAGAGATGTGCTGTTTTTCCTAAGTGTGGTGACAAAACATATGGTAGATCCCGAAGTATGATGAATTAATGTTGTTTTAACCCATGTCTTTTCTTAGTCGCATTCATTCAATTATGTTAATAAGATTACCATCTAAATTGGTTTACTTTCCTTCATTTATCGCCTTTCCTTTACCAGAGGGGTGCAGGAAAAAAATGTAAATCAATTCTGTAAATTACATCTCTTTCCAAAGGGAGACAAATTATCTAATGGATACATGTGTCAAATGTGGTGTTTGATCGTTAAGCATGAGTGCCATGCATGATGCGACCTCTGCACACACCTTTCCTTCTTGCTGAACTTGAGTGCTTGTTGTACTTACTGTTGATAACCCTTCAGAGAAGTGCCCACACATGACATATAAATCTCCTTGTACCAGCAATAAGTGTTTATTCCACTGGGCAGCTTTTAAAGTCATTTTCGAAAGAGGAGATAACTGCTGCTTCTACCAAAAAAAGAGAAGTGTCTACCCTGGAGGCTATGGTGTTCAGGACTCACCTTTTCATTTAGCTGTCAGAGCGCTATCAGAAAACATAGAACAAGACCGAAGAGTAAAATACAGTACATCACATTTAGAGGAGGAAGGCGAAAAGGAGGATTCTTGCAGTAGAATCTTAAGTTCTGTTTAAGTAAACAAAACAAAATATTTCTACTTACACAAAAGATTCCTTTGATTTTTGCAACTCTATAGTACAGTGGTACCTCGGTTTAAGAACAGCCCTGTTTACGAACAATTCGGTTTACGAACTCCACGAAACCGGAGGTAGTGTCCCAGTTTGCAAACTTTACCTCAGTCCAAGAACGGAGTCTGAATGGATTTGAGGCCTCATTAGGGAAAGCGTGCTTCTGTTTAAGAATGGCTTCCGTTTAAGAACGGACTTCCGAAACGGATTAAGTTTGTAAACCGAGGCACCCCTGTATCTTTTTATCCATTGCTTTTTAAAACCAATCTGCTCTCTGAAATCTAGGTCAATGAAACACCAGAGTGCCTGCTTTTATTCCTGCAAAGAATACTGCTCAACATTGTTGCTGTATATAGTCTTACACAATGGCAGAATATTGATTGACTTTAACAGGTATAAGTAACGTCCTGTAAATACTTGGTGCCAGGTTTCTTAGGTGGTGCTAGTCCTGAACTATGGGCAGATGTCAAAGGGGAGTCAAAGTCAGCAAAATGCATGGAGATGTACCAGGAAGACCATGGTTGCTCAAAGTTCCTGTTCAAACAGGAAGCCCTTCCTGCCTAGGATGACCTCTGGCCTTAAATACTTTACTGTTCTAGAAGATGCTCTAAAGTGAAACTCTGGTGCCTTCCCACATGAGGTAGTTGCTCACGGAATCAAGGGTTCCTGTTTCTATCCCTACCAGACAGTCAGAAATAATATGTTGGTGCCTGTAAATTTTAATAATAGCAAATACAGCAGCAGTAGCAGCTTATATCCTCTCCTTTTGTTTCATTCACCTACTGTAGGGTGCAGTGGGCTGGTTGCCACCTAAAATGACTTTCACGCATAGTTGTAGAAACATTTCAGTGAGTTTTCTGCATGAGTGACTGGGTTCCTTTGGGAGGAAGGGTGAGATATAAATTCAGTGAATGAATGAATGTTCAAGCTCATGAGGACTAATGTCATTAATCACACATCTGTTCCACATCTCTTATCCACATGAAGCCCTGAAGGACATGATGTTACTTACCATACCATCAGGGGCATATGCATTGACCTGTGTGCTCTAAAGGTCAGGGTCCAAATACTAGCTCTACATAACCAAAGGAGTTTGGGTTTGGGTTTAGGGTTTCTGCAAGGCATCGTATTTGAGGGATTCAGGGTTTGGGGGGGTTTGTTCATTTTTAATGTTACTTGTTTTTACTTGTTTTGACTTTAAATCTTCCTGAGAGCTTGAGTCAGAAAAGGAAAGGGTTAGTATTATTTTTATGAAGACCAATTCCCATTTGAACTTCTTTGCTGGCTACCAGCAGAGAAACATGCTGACTTTCTGATATTCTGGCAATAAAGGAGTTTGTTTTGTGAAGCCTCCTTCTACAGTAGTTCTTGAACGTTCATCCTAGCTCTTCCTAGCCTGCTCAGTTGTGCAGGAATTCCCCCCCCCCAAGAGTTCTTTTTCCACCTGTATTACCAGTACAGGGACCCCTACCACCACCGCTGCCACAGTGTATTAACTTTTCATTTATTCTGTTTTCATACACAAATTCCTCTTCAGGTGGTTGTAAGTTCCCAGGAAAAAATAATGAGAACCTTTCTCACATATATTTTCACATAGTGGCTATGAATATATTCAAGCCCCCCACTCTTCATCCCCTAACCCAACTTTCAAGCATAAATATTTGCAACTGAATGAAGGCTATTTTATTTGAAAGTTGAAGCATATTCTTTTGCTTGAGACAATACCGATGATCTGTAAACCATGTGATACAGGTTGTTTACAGGTGATTACTCCACTTTGTATGCCAATAGGTTCTGTTCTGAAGTTTTAATTAATGATTATGTAGGTTCTGGAGCCAGCAAGCATTACCCCATCCCTTTCCCATGTGCATTCTGTCTGCACAAATATTTCATTCATTTATTTACTTGCAACATTTTTATACAATACATTTATAAAATGTGGTGCATAGAAAATATAGGATATGCTGTTGTAATAATACTTCTGTCTTAATCCTCTGCGACTTTCCATTCCAAATGACTGACATCCAGTTACCACTCCCTCTCTCTATTTTTTGCCACTACTTCAAGAAGAAACGGCCCCTTGGCTAAGAAGCACATTTCTTTATAAGGGTATAATATACATATAGAAAAAGACAAAGTTCCACCTTCAGGAATATTGCTTCTGGCAGAAAATTGTAGCGACCATGTTCAGTGGCGGTATTAGTTTTAATTGGAATGTATAACAATGGAGTGTCCTTGGGTTATTTCTCATGGTTAGTGCAGTGGAGAACCTATAAGTATAAAATTTCCCCAAGTTTTGAGAGAACTAGGTTGCTCCCCTTATTTTGAAGTAGTAGCCGCTAATCATGAGCTCAGTCAATCATGTAACTCAGTAGGTGCTACAAGAATCAAGCTCTGAAACAAGACTGATCATTATAGGAATAGTGTCATTTTTTGGAAGCTGTAGAAATTCTAAGGAACTGTCTTCTGTTCCAGAACTCAGACTGGCATAATTAGGTTTTAAAAACTTTACATTGCATGCTAAATTTTCAGCAATTAAGTCACAGTGACATCTATTCCCTTAAATTGCCTTAAATAGCAAAATTGCTTGTTCAGAATTCTGTTCAGACATGGGCACCTTGATCCCCAGCATGGGGTAATTGCAATGCAGACCACTGTAGTACTGACTTTCTTAGCACCATGTAATTCCTTGGATTGGACGAAACCGCTTAGAAAGAGAAATGAATTGTCTTGACTACACCTTCTGACCAATGCCAGTGTTACAGACACTCTTTCCCTTTCCAGAGCTTACATCCAGAATAAGACACCAACCCTTACTTTAGCTAGTATTAGGACGTTTGCATATACACCTAAGAAGTTACACCAGCCTCACTCACAATATCTGTAAATTTGAGATAGAGTGGAATTTGCCTTTGAGGCAGCTTAAAGTCTACATTTTTGCCTTGTTAATTTGACATGATGCATAAAAATCTCGAACCATTTTCTAATAGAAAAAAGCAGCTCATCTGAAATATAAAGTACACAGGGTAGGTTAAGTGTTACATATTAAATAAATCTGAATTCATAAATAATCACCTCATAATAGCCACTCAGTGATTTTACAATCAGAGAGGCTAATTTATAAAACCTTGTAGTAAATCCCCTTATAACAATGTGCACAGACTTCGTTCAGTATTATAACTATTTTATTCCATTATTGAGCTTTCTACTCTTCCACTTTAATTTTGTTTTAAAAAGTAATTAAGTAAAAAAGATTTGGTCTTGAAATTATGTTTTAAGATATCCTCTTTCTCTTCCAGTGACCTTTTTGCTGGCAACTTCACAGAAACACACTATTTGGAAGATGGTACTGGTGCTGTTCTTGCGCGTAATTACACGGTAAGTTTTGTGACTTTGTCTGTGGGGAGGTAGAGGTGCAATACTTGGTCATTAAAAGAACAGAAGGGGAACTATGAAATAGAGTGGTTTGAAATCACTGTTTAGGCAGTTTTCAGGTTTCTTTGTTCAAAATGCACAACTGTGGACGGAAATGTCCTAAGTAGTACATGATGGGAGGGGCTTTAATAGTTATAAGTTTTGTGCACTTCACTTCAGGTAGATCTTACAGGTTTTTAGACTAAAGGGTAAATGCTCAGCTTATTTCCAGTAATTTCACTTCACTTCTTTCTCAGTTGTTGCACAGCTGTTGCTGCTTTATACTTTGGTTCTTAAACAAGGTGGTACTTCCTGTCAGTTGCACACCCCTTATTCCTGAGGCACTCCAAGTAACAGACCCAAGGGATCTCCACACCCCTCTTAACTGGTTTGGGAATCTTCTCTTTTTGTAGAAGAATCTCTCCCCTCCTGACTGGAATGAGACCTAAGTAGACTGTATCTTTCCAGCTTCTACTCCTCCTGGCTCAGCCTCAGCCTCCCAGTTAATTCCTGGCTTAATTACTCATACAGGACACCACACACTGTCCTTCACACTAAGCTCAGAGACTTATTTCTCTAGCTTTTGATATATTCCCCAGAGCGGATGTTTCTACCCAGAACCAACTCTCTCTCCTCTCACTCCCTGTCTCCCAACCTATTTCCCAACCTACTCAACGGTCTCTTAAACTCCCTCTCCTGGAACCCTGGCCAATCAGAAGCTGCCATTCGTTAACCGTTTGCTAGCAAGGAAAAAGAAAAACACTTGGTGACCCAACCTGCCCAGCAAAACAAAATTTTCCGTCACAGTAGGTATTTTTTTTTGGGGGGGGGGGAAGAAGGACTGAAAAAGTTCCCTATCTTACCTGATCTTTCCTCAGAAGGGATTACAGTGGTACCTCGCAAGACGAATGCCTCGCAAGACAAAAAACTTGCTAGACGAAAGGGTTTTTTGTTTTTTGAGCTGCTTCACAAGACGGTTTTCCCTATGGGCTTGCTTCGCAAGACGGAAACGTCTTGCAAGTTTGTTTCCTTTTTCTTAACACCGTTAATACAGTTGCGACTTGACTTCGAGGAGCAACTCATAGAACGCGGTGTGGTAGCCTTTTTTGAGGTTTTTAAAGACTTTGGTGATTTTTGAAGCTTTTCCAAAACTTTCCCGACACCGTGCTTCGCAAGATGAAAAAAATCGCAAGACGACAAAACTCGCGGAACGAATTAATTTCGTCTTGCGAGGCACCACTGTATATACCTTTGTTTCTATAAATATATAGAGATGCTTTGGAGCAATTGTATTTTCCTGTCCCACTTGTATTTAAAACTTAGAATTATAGTCTTGGAAGTCATCTAGTCTAATCCCCTGCAATGCAGGAATCTCAACTCAAGCATCCATGATAGATGACCATCATTCCTTTGCTTAAAAACCTCCAAGGAAGGAGAGTCCACCACCTTCCGAGGGAGTCGGTTTCATTGTCAAACAACTCTAGAATAGCCTTAGCTTTTGTTGTTGTTGCTGCATCACATTGCTGACTCAAATTAAGATCCTTCTTAATTAAAACAGTACAGTGGCTGGTCTGGATTACTACATTTTACTTTTATCTGCTGATTAGATCCAGCTTAACTGCATTTTAAAAATGTATATGTTTGATGTAGAAGTAGAAGCATTACACATCTTGTTAAGTTCCTTAATAAGACAGTAGTAAATGGAGGTTCATGTCTTAGATTGGAGCCGTAAGGTTTTTTAAAGGTTTTTTTTAATTAGCCATAAAGGTGAACAATTGAAGCAGCAATTTATACCCTGGTAGACTAACCAGTTAAAACAGTTTTTTAAATATTGCAGTAGAACCCTTTTTGATACCAAAATGCAATGCATCTTGCACTCCCAACATTTTAATGCTTAGACATATATTTATTGTAAAAATACGTTTTCCTGCAAATAAAACATGTTGTCACCACAGTTTGTGAAATATTCACTGCTAGTTTCAAATAGTGAAAGTGAGCTGCTACTAATTTTATGTATTTTTACCTCTGCAAAATGGCAAAATCTCAGAATTAAGGAAGTCTTGCTAAGTAAAGCTTCATCTAGAGTGTTCTATACTGCTGACTTTTGATTTTAATTCTGATTTTTGTGAGGCACGATTTTCACCTAGAAAGTAGATAAGATGATGAGAAATCCATTATCATATATCTTACAGGTTTTAAAAATAGCTTAAACACCCTCCGGTGCCCCAATCAGGAGACCTCAGTGCAAGCTTCCTCAAACTCAGCTCTCCAGATGTTTGGAGACTACAATTCCCATCAACCCTGACCACTGGTCCTGCTAGCTAGGGATCATGGGAGTTGTAGGCTAAAAAACATCTGGAGGGCCGAATTTAAAGAAGCCTGCCTCAGTGCATGCAGAAGGGATAACTCTTCCCTCCCCCCACTGTTTTCCTGAATAAAATTAATCCCCCAAACTGCTCTTTATCCAGTAGAGCAAACCATACAAGTACTGAACATGTTAGTTAGCATATTTGGATGGCATATGTGGAGTGGATGATGTGTACATTATTCCCTTGTGCAGGCCATGCTAATTCCTCCACTGTGCTGTTTGGACAGGTGGGAATTAGCATGGGAGTTGGCACTATCACCAACCAACTTAAGGTCTTGGGTCATTGAATTAAGGGGAAAAAAATATCATTGCTGTTCATTATCTAGATCCCCAAATATACAAAAAAATAAAACATCTGGGGGTTTGTGAGTCAGACACTACTATTGGATATCAACAAGGATGTCTAATTGATCTATCCCTTACTTCATCATACCTGGCATGATCAATGCCAAAAATGAGGAATGGCTTATTTTGGCAAGAACAACTTACATGGCTTGAGTCCTTAATTTAGCATCTATGACAGTAGAAATTATGCATGCATGTTTTAGTATTAGCTCTCAGCTTTTCGACAGTCATAGATGTGCTCTAGCTTGGTGCAAAACTAATGACAGCATAAATATAGGTTTTACTGGGGAATGTTTAATACCACCCTGTTTCCCTTCAGATCATTGTGTCTTCTCCCTGGATTCTAGTGTTCACTGTGCCTCCTGTCTTCTCTTGTCAGAGAGAAGATGGACACTTAAAGGGGACTGAGTTTAAGCCTCTGGTTTATAATTTTTAAAAACATAGCATTGTTTGTATATATATGATAGATAGATGATAGATAGATAGATAGATAGATAGATAGATAGATAGATAGATAGATAAGTCTCCTCTCATGTGGAATCCATCACCAGCTAAGATAAGGCATGCTCATACAATCTGCTCTTTCACATGCATGCTAAATGGATTTTTAAATTACTGTGCTCTGATTATTTTCTAGTGTTGTGCTGTTATTTTAACAGTTTTACTCTGGTGTGTATTTTAGATTTATTTATTTATTTTTTCCTCTACATTGCCTTAATATTTTATAAGTTTATAAAAACCTTTAACATAAATTATATATCCACATGGTGATATCCAACTTTAGTCATACTCTAAATATCCCCATTTAAATAAACAGACTTATATATTTTGATTTCAATGGGTCTGCTCTGGCTGAATATGACTTACGTTGGATATCAACCATGCATTTTAAAAGTTTCTTATTTTATATTTTATTAACAATAAATTTGTTATTTGTTGTTCTAGTTCAGGTTTTAAAAAATCTAGACATATCTTGAGATTGCCATTTAATTTATAACTTGAGTTTTTATCCATGCATGTGTGCTGCAAACACATTATAACCTTCTCACTGTGTACAATTTCATTTCCATCAAAAAGAAAAGAAAAGAAGAAATACTCTGGCGCTAAACTAATATTTTCTTTATGGTGTAATCGAATTTGCCAAAAATTCATGCTCCTGAACTATTAAAACTCAACCCTGATCTTTTCATGCTATTGCTTTCACCAGCAAAATCAAGGTGGTCTTTAGAAGCCTTCTGTCTGAGACTATGTAATTGAAAACCATGCCCTGAAACTGAAAAGGTTAATTAATGCAGCTTAGATGTGAATGAACCAAGTAATAAGAGGCGAAATAAGATGACTGTCAGGTTGAAATATGAGTGATAACTTTCCCTTGCACTAATAAGATAGCAACCTTTGACAGTGAGGCATTTGGCTTCCATATGGTATTCAAAGGAGCGAGAAATGAAAAAGAAAAAGAAATGCTGGACATAATATAATCATTATTTCCCAGCCAGGTCTATAATTGGAAATATGGTATTACCTTTCATCAACAATAGCAAATGTGCATCTTTACTGAGTATGTATCTTTTGTTGTGGTTGTCCTTTGTAAGCAGTTGGTTTTATTAAAGAAATACAATAACCCAGCCACAAAACATAACAGGGTTGTTGCTGCTGAAAATACAGTTCTCTGTTATTCCTGTTCTTAATAACACACCACTTCCAAGTCAGCATAGTTTAATAAAATGCTTTCAGCCTCCCAATTTCTTTTCACCTGATTTTTTCTTCTTCTGGAGCTATAAAACCAGGAAATTGTTTTATTACATTGCACAGTATGCTTAATTATGTCTTATGGATCTCCCTCATATTACTAACGACAATTTACATCTTACAGTGAAAGCCTAAAGGTGAATGACAGTGTAATTTGCTCTGCTGTTTAATTTTACAAAATGCTTCCCATCATAGTTTTCCAATAACATAATCAAAAGAGCAGGCGTCTCATAAAGAAATGTTTTAAATACTTGTTTGATCTTTGTCTTTTATTGAATGAGGCACAGCATCATTATTGGCATAAGCTTATTTTAATCCAGCATTAAATACAAACAGGTAAAATGATTATTTCAGGTTATTTCCTTAATAGCCTGAATTCAGAGAAGGCTTTTCCATTAAGAGGAACATAAAGTTTTGTGTGTCAACAATAAGAACACACATACTGACCTGGTTCACATTTAATTCTAAACCAAACCATGACTGAGCATGAATGACCAACTAAGCCTTCTAAGGAACCAACTTATGAAAGCTTTCCCGCCAAACACTGCAGCATGCAAAGACAGCCAGCTCTTTTAAGGATGCTCTCAGTGAGGAATTGGTGATAGTGGTATCATTATCTTTCCCCTAATCTACAGACAAATTTCCTTTCTCTCCTGGTTGCCCCATGGAAACCCCCCTCTCTGCTTGCACAAAAACTCTTTCCCGCACCAGACCAGGCCCCTGCAACCCGACCCACCTGCCACCCCGCTTCCCACGCAAAACCTGACACTCCATTGTGGCAGGCTCATGCACTGCAAGCTCCCTCTTTCACTCCCTGCGCCCCACCCTCTGTAGGCAAAGACTCTCTCTCTCAAGCTCCTCCTCCCAGCCTCGCTCCACCCTCTGCCCATGTCCTGTGATCCTTTTCCCTCCCAAACTCCCACTCCGACTCTCAAAGAAAAAGGATGACCCCGCTTTTCCTAGGGATAGGTAGCAACCGTAGGGTGGGACCTCCTTCTGGCAACTCCTGCCGCCAAGCTGATGCCGCCACATCTTTTGGTCTGCTTTCCTTTGGAGCACATCAGTGAGGCCGAGGGAGTGGGGGTCTTGTCGTCTGGGCAGCCAAGGACCTCCATACACACTGCCCAGGCTTGCACCCTGGAAAAGTCACTTCAGTGCTGTTCACACAGCAGAAGTAACACAGGAGGCAGCAGTTATGAGTTGCTGGTCTCAGCAGCAGCAGCAACAGATGCTCTTATTCTTCAGTGGTTTTACCCCTGGAGGCACACTCCAATGTCTCTTGAGACAAAATGGATACCAACAACGGGGGCCTTGAGGAAGGGGTGTGTGGTTTGAGGATAAGAGGCCCACTGATAGCCTGAGCCCCCAGAAAGCTAGAGCTGGCCCTAGTTATTGTTAACAGTGTACTGGGCCCAGGAAAGCCTGCTGGCATCCCTGAACCTGGGCTCACAGTTTGTTTCACCTAGAGAAGCCAAGAACAAACCATGACTATAGTTTATAGTTTGTCTAGAGTGAACCAACCTGTTTTTTTCCTTCTGAAGAGCTGCAGCTTGTTTGTTCATGCTTAACTGTAGTTTGGTTTAGCATTACTTATGAAATGAGCTGAGCTATAGATACTGATTCCCCCTCACTATTCTCTGTTCAATTAGGCTCATTGCTACTACCATGGTCATGTCCAAGATTATGCCGAGTCTGCAGTAACTTTGAGTACATGTTCTGGACTCAGGTAAGTAGGACAACCTTAAATCATGAGAACACCTAACCTTGCCAGATTATTGGCAAGTGGGCAGTCTTGTTCACCTGTCGAAATGGTTCTGGATGGGAGAGCTTTGGAAACAGCTGGAAAAGGTTCCCACCTCTGGTTTGGCAGACAGCAGAACAGCCAGTTTCCCCTACCCTGTGCTGCTGTGGTTATATTCTGAAATGGGTAGATCTATTTCACTGCTGGTGGTAAAACAATGTAATTGACCTTGTCTTCTGAGTCAGAGGAAGAGTTCATCCTTTCCTGACGTTTTACTACCTACTGAACAGAAGTGAGCGTCACAGTGTCTGACTTCCCTTTCCCCTCCTTTATGCTGAATCAGCAGTTTTTTGTACAGTCTTGTCCATCTTGTCTCTTGGTATGGGATGGAGGAAACACCTTATAGCACAAGTGAACATAGGAAGCAATGTTTTATACTGAGTCAGGCCAATGAGTCATCTCACTCAGTATTGCTTACCCTGCCTGGCTGCGGCTCTCCAGGGTTTTAGACAGAGGTCTATCAAAGCTACCTGGAGATGCCAGAGATTGAACCTGAGACTTAGCCACATGCAAAGCAGATCCTGGACCAGAAAGCCCGCTGACCTTTAGTTGACACCATTAAACTTAAGCTGAACAGTGTCTACTCAGAATGAATGTAAGCCCCACTGAGTTACTTACTTCTAGGGATTTAATTCCAGGTAAGTGTGCATCGGATTGCAGCCTTCCATGTCACCCCAATTCCCTACTGCTGTGAAGGAATAAACTGTGGTTACAGAAAGAACTTATTTGGGGGACAACCTAGCACTTAGTGCTGCTGTGTGATGAACATGTGATAGCTTTTAAAAACCTATCATTACTAATAAAATATAAATCTGAAAACTGAAGCCCTCAGGAGGAAATAATCAAGAATTCTCTCTGACCTTAAATAAAGCAGAGCTATTTTAAGTTTATATTTCCAACAAAATTAAGACAAAAACTTCTACATTTTGCACATTATTTAGATATTATAAAGGCTGTGAACATGGGAGGGGGGGAAATCCCCAGAAGAGTGCCACATTTATTTAATTAAGCTTTCTCATAAAGTTAGCAGCTGTGGGAAGTTGTTGGCCACTGCTGGTTGTATCTTTGCAGAGTCTCATTCATGTTGCAGGACACGCAGTGACTAGGAATGTTTGCATGTGGCTGAATAAGTCATCTTCAGTGCCATTCTCAGCTTTATTGAGGGTAACTTAAAACACCACTGCATCCTATCCTCTGTGTACTCCACTGTAAGAGTATATAGCAGGCATCCCCAAACTCGGCCCTCCAGCTGTTTTGGGACTACAATTCCCATCCTTGACCACTGGTCCTGTTAGCTAGGGATGATGGGAGTTGTAGTCCAGAAACAGCTGGAGGGCTGAGTTTGGGGATGCCTGGTATATAGGATCAAGCTTAAGGAATCCAGTGCTGCTACAGGATATGACTGGCACCTTTGCACCAGAATTGTGATGCAATCCTATCATTGGCATGTTTCACTAGTGAGAATGAGCAAGTGTGCAGTTTCCCACAGTGAGGATCATAGAATCATAGCATTGGAAGGGACCCTGAGGATCAACCCGGTGCATGCAGGAATATGCAGCTGTCCCTTATGGGATCAAACCTGCAAACTTGGTGTTATCAGCACCACACTCTAACCAACTAAGATCAGGGCCACATCACTCCAAGGTTTGTTCTGTGGGAGGGTGAGTAATCCTACTCTTCGTTCTATGGAACTTACTCCCAGGTAAGGGTGTGCAGGATTCCAGCCTTAGTATTCATAGGAAAGCATTTACATCAACGTGTGCTAAAAATAAGACATCTGCCTACTTGCTAGCCCACAATGCCAGCAAGTCACATTAGGCACCTATTAATCTGATCTCCTCAAAAAAGGACAAAACGGAGACAATGATTAAGGAAGGAACGCTATGAAAAAATAACTCTGGTAATCAAGGACAATTATAGCACATGTTATAGCTTTCCATTATTTTATTTTATTGATGAGTATTTGAAAGAAAATTGTTGTTTAGAAACAATTTTTGATTGGAATGCTGTGTTGATTGGCATGTGATAAGTAAAACCTGGTCATTATATTACCCCATAAAAGATTCTAGATCATCTTGTAGGCTTGGCATAATTTTTAAGACTGTGCCCTCCCAGCTTCCCTGGAGCAGGGTCTTACACACAGGAAAAGTTCTCTTTGCCTAGGGAAGTAGCTAATACTGTGTATTAAGTACCAGTAGCTCATAGCTATTTGGATACAGGAATTAAAGAATCTCTTATACAGCTCAAAGCTTTTGGCAGTAATTACATAAGCCGGAGTGCAGCCACTTTTCAAAAGCAGTAGGAATTATTGCTGTTTATTCCTAAAGATGCTTTCTGAAAGGATCTAGTTAAGCCTTGTAACACCCTGTTGAGAGAGCTAAGTGTTATCCCTATCTTGCAGAAGGAGAATCAGTTGTGGTGTAGAGAGGTGATTTGTATTGCACTATGAAAACTGGGGAGGTAGGTGCTTAGAAGAAATGGAGATATCTTCGTCTCCAGCTCAGTACCAGTTTTGCAACAAAGACTGAGCTAGTTTTCATGTTATCCCTCATGGAGGTGATCCACATTCATTGTCAGGAATTAAATTGCGTGTTGGCCCCTGCAATGGGTTTGATACCCATTGGTGGAAGAGCGGGCTTGAGCTGAAGAGGAGCAAGTAACAGACTTCTTGCTTCCACACCATCACCTATACTTTGAGCTCTCTCTTGGATGCTTCCTTGATTTCATTCTTCATTGAACATTGTGAGAATGTAGACTGGACGTTCCCAATGCAGGGAGGGCATGTGGTGACACAGTCCTGTTTTGGTTCACATATCCAACTTGCAAGTCATTACATACAACGCGGAAGGAACAGGAGCACCAAGCAAGCAGGTAGGCACTCAAAGATCTCAGAGCCAGCTCTCAAAGCCTGCTCTACCTGGGTTCTCTGTCTCCCCTCCAACCTGTGTGAAAGAAGGCGAGTGAGTCAAGTAAGCAAAGAAGAGAAGACTTCAGAGTCTATTCCATCAGGATTGTTCCCACTCAACTTCCCACCTACAAAACCGGCTGCACTTGGGAAGAATCCTGAAGACTCATTCATTTTTTTGGTGTCATTTCAATGTGATTTTATTAATGTCTTTTTATTTTCCTTGTAAGCTGTCTTGGAAGAATTTCTGCTCTTAAATGTGGGATGACAATGATGTTATAAAGCTGCTTAAAATGGTGTGTGCTTTTGGCACAGTGATCATTGATCGAGCATTGAGCTGAACACATAGTGGAGTAATTATAAGACTCTTAACAATATGTGCTGAATTCTTCATGCACCCACTCTCACCATTCTCAACAAACCAATTTGGTCTTATTAACTGATCCCAAAAAAAAAAATTCTTTTAAATTGATCCTGTTTCCTTGTTTAATTTTGTTTTCATTGGTATTTGCTGATAGTCATACCCTTTGGCATGTTGAATACCCATACTAGAGTTTAAAGATTGTTGTTTCTGTTTGTTAATTTTTCTTCGGAGTTTTCCAAAACAAGTACACTGCAAGGGCTTGAGCAATGGTCACTTGATATTGATTTGATATTTGTATTCCACTTTTCCAACAAGTGTTGAGCTGAAAGCAGCTCACAATAATCACCATAGTTGTGATAATATCTATATATTTTATTTATATAATATATCTATAGATATTATAGTTGCAAACACTATACAGTAACATATAAATAAAACAAAGAATAAATTCATTAATACAATTAATACAATTTAGTAAAGTCATAATAATTCAAAATATCAGAAAGAGTTGCTGAGCACCAGCCCTGTGCCAGATGACGTTGTCTCTCTGGGAAGAGGAATGTTCATGCATTGCTATAAAATGCAAATGCAGTTTGGCACTGGGCTGCAGGGTTTAGGCAGAGAGAAACAATATATTCATTGTAGTGAACTGTATGCCAAGATTACAGTATGCAGAATTTATAGTTGTGCCCCATTGGGGTTTGATCTAAACATATGCTATTCTTTCATACTTATTGAAAATCTGTCACTTTGTTGCAAACCAAGCATACGACATAGCACTATAAAGGAATGCATCATTTATTTGTTTTATACTACAGGGGTCTTATTTTGTTTGAGGATAATGCCTATATTTTGGAGCCACTGGAAGGTGCTACAAATGAACATATAATCTACCAAGCAAGGGACTTAAAACTAGCTCTGGGTTCTTGTGGTCATCATCCTAACATCTCAGGCATCACTCCGGAGGATACCACACAATTTATCCAGAAATTTGCTAGCAGGGTAGGTGGAAATTGTACTTTTCTCCTTCATGCTTTTAAAGAATCAGATCTAGGCAAATCTGACATTATGTCTCCATATCTTGGGATAAAGTCTGTTTTGAAGCATATTGCAGCAGTACATGGCAAAAGTAGAGAATATTGGGGAAAGCTGATTTACTTTGTACATTGTGCTATTGCCGGGAAAAGGTTCACATCCACTGTTTATTTTTCCATTTTGTGAATCTTCCTCATTAACTATTCAAGCCACTTGAATTTCTAAGCAGCATCTTTTGTCAGCTAAAGGTTAAATATGTCTGCATAATGTTTAATGACTAAACGCTTTGTGGCAAGGATGGGGGTCCTGTAGCCCTCTGGATATGGTTGGGCTTCCAACTCCTGTCAACCCCGGTCAGCATGGCCAATGGTCAGGAATGATGGGAGCTGCAGTCCAGCAGCATCTGTAGGGCCATAAGCTGCCTATCTCTGCTTTACAGAAATAGGTTGCTGTCTGTAGTTTGTCCCTATAATTCTTTCTGATAGCTAGCAGATCAACAAGTGCTGCTGGTGGCCTGATTTCTGTTACTATTCTAATAACAAACTCCAAATTTAGGGAAAGAGTTTCCCAATGACTAAAGAAAATTATGGAAGATTCTGCTGTTGAAAAATTATAAATGCCCCAGTCACTTACACTGTTAAAGTATAGGGTGTCAAACATTTTCCCCATTGGTATATCACTTGAATAAAAATGCATATCAAGATAATGGGAGCTACATACTGTGTAATGAAATGGGGGAAGAGGTTTTGGCAGATACAGCAAATAAGACCACAGATTTATATATGCATTAAGCAAGCATTAAAGAGAGGGGTCAGGGAATAATGTGGTAGCAGATCTGTCTAAAGTACTTATTGCATGAGAAGTATTGTAGTGCATAAGGCACATTGGCTATGTAACCCACTTATCATTTTTATTAAGTTCAAATTAGGTACACCAACCTAGCCCAACATCAAGGGGTATTATTTATATGATGGAACAAATGCATTTGCATTGTATTAGCATTAAAAGGTACATTTCCAAATATTATTGCTCCTTACTGCATGCTTCTAAAATCCGTTTTACCATTGTATGTGCTGCAGCTATACAATGGATGTGTAGACTGTTTCAGTTCATTAACACTAGAACAGCTCATCTATAAATGTACATAGAGTTCCATATCAGAATAACCAGTCTTGCAAAATAATTTATAAAAGTGAGGGAGCCATGAGTAACGTACTGTATAAACATATGTGATCTTCAAGGCTGTGACAGATTCTATGCCAACATAGTACACATATGGGTTGGATTCAAACTTCTACCAGCAGAAGAGGAGAAGCACTTTTTTGCCTGCAGACCTCAGTACCACATCCCAGACTGTTCTGGATGTTTAGGAGACAGAGGTAGTGCAGTTGTATGCATTGGGAGTGGAAAAATCAGCTGAAGTTCTCTCAGTTAGTGGGATCCCTCTGCTGAACAGTAGCCTTCCATAGGCAGAAAAAACCTTTCCCATTTGGTGAAGGTGAAGTCTGAAGCCAGCCTTATATACTTAAGGTTCCATTCATATAGATTCTGTACTGAATATGTTCCCAAGAGGAAAAGTTTCCCCCCACATACAAATACTGTATGGAGTAATTAGGTCACCTTAATAAAAAGGAAATAGCTGTTTAAAATGGGGGATTTTATTTTTAATATATTTCTCCAAATATCTTTCGATAAGTACCGGTATGTTTCAAAAGTGTTTCAATTTAACTTTAAGATAAATGATCTAAAAGGGATTTAAATTGGTTTTTTAAAAAAACAAATAAATCTCTGGCTTTGTACATATACTGTATAAGTTACAGGGAAGCAAGTTTACAGACAAGCATGTGTTCTGGTCTAGATATCTAAGATGCACTCAGATACCTCTATGGAGCTCACAACACATTCCTATTCACATTAATAAGGATATTTGATCTGCACACACGTCTTTTGTTTCCAGTTATTAAGCTCCTTTGTATGAAAAGCACTTTCTCCGAGCAGACTTCACTGTAACAGAGCAGTTCACTCCAGAATAAATCCTAACACGAGACAAAACAAATTGAAGGCAATTTTCAGTAAGGCTGTAGATAAACTCCATAGCTTGTTTAAAGACTTTAAAAAGTGGTGGTTTTTTTCTTCCTAAAATGATAATCCCTATCTGGTGGAAATAGAACTTCAGGAAGTAGTGGCCATTTTAAATCTTACTACATGAAGAGATGATTGTTTACAGATTTCAGCCACTTTTAAAACTCAGCATTAGGTTCCTTTCCTCACAGCTTTCCTCAGAAATCTCAGGATGTGGTAGCGTGCAAAGACATGTGGTTGGAACTGCCAACAATTACATCTCCATGTGCTTTCAGCCACCACGGAATAAGCTTCTCTGAAGCTACTTTAGGGTTCTTGCTTATCTGTTTTGACACTAGATTAAATAAAAAGAATCCTGCAGAGTCTGTGAAATAATGTGTGGTGAAACAAGGACTCTAAACTGTTTTCCCCCCCCCTTTGCATTTACATAGTTTGTAAATATGTTATTTTGCTTAATTATTTTGTGTTTGTGTTGTTGTTGTTGTTTTAAAAAAATTATGGTCTTGGATGAATGAGGAGTTGATTGCACTATGAAAGCTGTGCTGTGCAAGCAGAGAGAAGTGATAATTAGGTGTATTTTAGAAACAAATGGTCTGTCTAAGAAACGCATCCTCCAGACAAGTCATGGAGCAGATTAATAATGTTAATCAGACATAAGAAGTTCAGGAGCTTACATCATATCTCCAAGAGCTCTTTTGTCCCATTTGTTTTTATTTTGAGGTAGTTCAAATTCTTTGGAGCATGAAAATGCTGCTCATTTGGTTGTTTGTACTGTTTGTGAAGATGAATCTTGAGTGTATCTCAAAATATCACTGCTGTGGACCTTTTCAGCCAAGCAGGAATGTTTTACGTCTTCTAACTTTAGTGAACTAGCTTGGAAGGCTTGCTAAACAATGGCTTGATTAGAAGGGGAAATCATCAACTAAGCCCTGTGCACAAGAAGAGGTAGAAGGAGAGGTCAATGAGGGCAGCTGCCTTTCCCCCCAAGAATACTCCTGAGAGTGATACTATGTCATAAATTTAGCATAATTCCAACTTTGTCACTTTAAAAGCAGAAAACCGTTCCAATGGGCTCCTGAAGCAGCACTTCTGCCATATTAAAGGTAAAAGGTAAAGGGACCCCTGACCATTAGGTCTAGTCGTGGCCGACTCTTGGGTTGCAGCGCTCATCTCGCTTTATTGGCCAAGGGAGCCGGCGTACAGCTTCCGGGTCATGTGGCCAGCATGACTAAGCCGCTTCTGGCAAACCAGAGCAGTGCACGGAAACGCCATTTACCTTCCTGTCGGAGCGGTACCTATTTATCTACTTGCACTTTGACGTGCTTTCAAACTGCTAGGTTGGCAGGAGCTGGGACCGAGCAACGGGAGCTCACCCCATCGCAGGGATTCGAACCGCCGACCTTCTGATCAGCAAGTCCTAGGCTCTGTGGTTTAACCCACAGCACCACCCGCATCCCTTCTGCCATATTACATGGCAGCAAATCATTTTTTGTGTTTAAGGTAGGGCAAGAGAATCCTTGGCCACCCCATTTGGAATGCCAAGTTGCCTCACTCCAAAAGTCACCAAATACACTTCCCCCCCACACTTTTGTGGTAGATTGATGGGCACACAAAAGTAGGAGTATTCTGTCCAATATTACTGTAACAGATTGCAGACTCAGGAATTTCACATTTAAAAATGAAAGAGCTTCTGTATATTTGGTACTCTTTTCATGAGACACACATGCTCATATTTTGGCAAGACATCAACACTGATAAATGAACTATTTCACAAAGAGTATTCCATCAATAAACAAATAAACTTCCTTATTAAATCCTGCTGGAAACTCCAGGTTCAGACTGTTTCAGTCTCTTTCAGGAATCTAGAATTTGAAATTTCTAGATTTGGGTTAAAGTTCATTAAACTGGAAGCCGTTTTCTTAGATTCTGTCCAGTCCACAATTATTTAATATGATAAGCCAAGACCATCTATATCAAATTTGATGCTTCATCCCGCTCCAAACTTTTGCCAAACTTAGAAAATAGTGCTGACGAGCTTACTTCACATGGAGCATCCTGGCACCACATATGAGCAACCTGTGACCCACGATGATTCTCTGTGCAGTCCACCAAACCCAAGAATGCCCCACCCATACATCTCCACTAACCAAGTGATTAGCAGTCATTGGAGCAGCAGAAAAAAGATTGCTGCTCAAACCTACTGGTACGTGGCCCTCTCCTTCCGACTGCCCTATATAGCCCTTCAGAGACAAAAAGGTTACTGCCTACTAGTAGCATCAGAACATTTAATATGGTTGTACCTTGGATCTTGAATGCCTTGCAAATCGAATGTGAGTGTTCCGGTTTGCAAACCTTCTTTGGAAGCCGAACGTCTTCCGTATCTTCCGATTGAGTGCAGGTAGCTCCTGCAGCCAATCGGAAGCTGCGCCTTGAACATTTTCAGAAGTCGAACGAACTTCCAGAACGGATTCCGTTTGACCACCAAGGCACGACTGTAGCTTGATTGATTATTGTATCAGTATATTAAAAATATCTCTAAGTGCTATGTAGAAAACAGAAGCAACAACAGACAACTTAAACCAAATATTACAACAAAAAACCAGTTACATGTAAAAATGCTACATTAATACAAAGTTACTTATGTATTATATATACTTCCCTGCTGTTCTAAGGTTGATCTACCCTTCATTTTTTAATCTCAGTGTATTTTTTCACATTCAAGTACCCTGTTATGGGGTACAATGAAGAACATGTAATGTGTGTGTGCATTTCTTGAGGGATGTGCAGGAGGTTAGATTGAATCTACTGATACATGGATTGCACCATCTCAGCAAATATTTCAGACACCCAATATTTTACAGTAGCAGCAACAAAATGGCACACACACACACACACACACACACACACACCAATCTAAATTATATTACAGAAATGAAGTAATATTGGGGTAACCAAGAGTGGATTTTTGTGTGGAAGAACCATGAACTCCATTCAGTTCTTAGGCTTCAATTTCGGTTGTTTAATATCTTTGCCCCAGGCTTAGGTCAGTGGACCTCAGGGTTCTAGTAAAAAGTAAAGTAGATCTAATAATCCTAAATCTGCCTACCCCTGACTTAAGGTGTTCATCACTTCTGACCCCTTAGTTTCTTGCCTTGAAATTATATTTCAATTTTAGTATCTGAAGATGTGTATGAACATAGCATGAAAATAAGCAAATCTAAGTTGGTGGTCCTTTCTAGATGATCCATGGCATAAACTTCATTATGTTTGCAATTTACATGTGAATACAAACAACAGGAGAGGCAAAGTGTATCCATGTGTTTAAAATGTGTTATGACTGAAGTGACTATCATGCCAGTCCACTGTACACTGTATGCTAATACTGAAGAATGATGCACTTTTATCTCATTGCATGGGAATATTGAAATATGGTGGGCCCAGGACATTGTCCAACAACCTTGTTGAAGCTAAGAAACTCTGGGACTGCTCTGGTCAGTACGTGGATGGAAGTCCACCCGAGAACCTCATCTGTACTAAAACTTGGTCGCTTATGACATTATTGCTAACTATGGTTTAGCCATAGTTCCATGATGGAAGAGAGGTGCGATACAAATTTCATTTTACACACACACACAAATGAAGTAAATACCGTTAGTGATATTTAAATTGTTTTATAACATACCACTGTTATAGGAAATAGATATCTAGAGACCTAGGTGTCCTTGGATTACTAATAGCATTAATCTGATCTCTTTGCTCTGTGTTTTAACTTGTATTTTAGTTTAATTATGTTTTTAACTGGCTGCTTTTTATCTGCCCTAATCTGATTTTATTATGATAATTTTTTTGTGGATTATGATACTGTTTACTTGCTTTTTTGTTGTTGTTGTTGTTATCTGCCTTTAGCATTTTTTTAATAGGGAAAGGGAATATATAAAAATAAACAAATATCTTTTTTTTCGGTAGCACAAGAGGGAAGCCCTGAAATCTACCAAGTATGTGGAACTCATTATTGTGGCTGATAATCGAGAGGTACACAACTTCTAAAGTTAAAAATGTGAAGAAATATATTTGTAAGGGGGTTGTATAAAACTAGTGGAATGATATGACTTGAAAATTCATTTTCTTTGAGAGAAGGAATCAGATAAATACTTCACTGTCCTCATGTTGTTGCTTCATTGATATCTATGATATAAAAAACTGAAAAAATGAAAACGCTTCTTTAAATTAATGTGGTGGACTAACCTGTTCCATGGTAAAGAAATATTAATGGTAAATGCTGTGTTCCACTCTCTACCTACATGTATTAAAAGTGTTGGGGTGGTTTTTTTTATTGTGCTGTGATTTCTACCAGAAAAAGGGGAGGTATAGCTAAGTGTAAGAATGCAGGCATTGCATTTATAAGGTCCCAGGTTCAGTTCTTGACATCTCCTCCATGGCCTGAAACCATGGAGAATCTGCTACAATGACAGTAGGCAGCATTAGGCTAGATAGAGCTTGGTATGGTCATCTTTGCCGGCTGTCAGCATTACCGTATTTTTTGCTCCATAAGACGCACTTTTTCCTTCCTAAAAATTAAGGGGAATTGTATGTGTGCCTTATGGAGCGAATGTGTGATCCCTGTGGCTGAATTGCCCAGGGGCATAAAGCAGATCATGCTTTTTTTTAAAAAAAAAAAGAGGGAAGTGGGTGTTGAAACAAAGCCACTGATGGCAAGCGATTGGGGAGAGAGATAAGGGACGCTAGCAATAAAGGAGGCTGCCTGGGAGGGGGGAGGTAAAGACAGTGAACTTGCAAGGATTGGAGACAGGAAGACTAAAGCATTGAGGAGAGAAATTAGAAGAAAAGGAGGAGCAAAAACCTGCTCCAGCTAAGGAAAAGACACTAAGGCAAACAAGAGGGAAGGGACTGTTGAAAGGAAGCAGCTGATCAGTAAGTGATTGGAGAGTGAGATAAGGGAGGCTAGCAATAAAGGAGGCTATCTGGGAGGGGGGAGGTAAAAACCCATGGATCCTCAGGATTTTTGCATTGGGACACCCCAAATTCACCATCAGATCACATAGCATGTCCATGGCTACAGCATGCACACAAAAAATCACGCACCCACTGTTTCATGGGGCCGCAATGGCGCAAAAACATGGTTACAAAGCACGGATTCACATGGATTCTCAAGATTTTTGCATTTGGCTACCCCAAACTCACCGTCAAATCACATGTCTGTGGCCACAGGTGCGTCAGGTGCGTCTTATGGAGCGAAAAATACAGTGAATTGCTAGTCACGACTGACAGCCTAGAAACCATATTTGTGGACTTCTGTATAAACATTATATTGCATTAAGTGAACAGTAGTGCACCAGTGAGCTACCCAAGTGAAACAAGGTGCAACCCAATCCAAGGGTTGCAAAGTTTGATGTGTAGCATACACAGATGAACGAATTTGCCTATCTTAGTTTATCACATTCTCTACTTTTTAAATTTTAAGTACAGCATGAAAAAGTGTATGTATTTTTGTTCGCATTTCTCCAAACATCTGCATTTTCAACCAAATTTTCCCCAACATAATGCATTTTTTTATGTTCTTTTCACAAATGTGTACATAACTGTGCACACTTTTCCAAAATAAATCCTTTTTATCTACGTTTTTGGGTTAGAGAACTGCATCACAAAATTCAGAGAAGTGAATTTCAAAGGATAGCTATACTTCCACATATTTGTGTGGGAAGTGCTAATTAATTAGATTCACATTAAAATATATACGGGCCTCCTAAGTATAATATAACGTATAATGCTGTCTCTGTTACTAAAAAGTACGTAAAGAATTCAGTTTCTGCCAAGTCTCCACAATGATTTGCAAGGCATGCTAAGGTGTTACAAATAGTTAAGCCTCTTTGCAGGTATCTCAAAGCAAGAAGGGGGGGGGGAGAGAAATCCCTATCCCTAAATTTGCTAATTCATACTAATGAAATGTGCATGGATTCAGGAAACATAATTCTTGAATGCTTGGAGCTACATTGCATTATTTAATTTTCACCCAACAGAACTAAGGCTATGATTGGCTTGCATTAATAATACCAATTCTGTGGTGTAGGTTCTTTAGATACAGTTTGCCGGTTACTGAATTCAGCAAGGCTGCATAAATTGCTGAGCATTTGCAAAAGAGCTTCAAAACAAATACACAAGACAGATGGTTGAAAGTATCTCAACTTTCTGAAGTGCAACCAAAAATGAAAAACCTCGTATTGAAATGTTTTCCAATTTGCATTTTCCCTCATTTAGAATGACAGACGTTGCCTCTTCAACACCTCTGCTTAAACAGCAGAATTGCTTTCTTCCTATGGCGGAGAGACAGCTAAAATGAGAGCCTTTTTCTTTGCACAATAAGATGGATCCCAGTGAGTCAGCTGTGTGGGAGCAGGATGAGAAGCCCTTTTTTGTTTGAAAAACTACACCCCTTCACACAATGTTTGCTTGTTTTAAGGCATACGTGGGTTCTACTGTCGGCAATAGGAGCTTACTATGGGCCCATATTGTATGTAAAACCCATATGTCAGTTAATGCCTTCTTGGAGAATGCAAATAATGTCTGCAGAATAATAATGAGTATAATACAAATGTTGATGGTTCTTTGTTACTATTTTTTTGTAGTTTCAGAGACAGGGCAAAGACGTGGAGAAAGTGAAGCTGAGGCTGATAGAAATTGCCAACTATGTTGATAAGGTAAAGTTTGTGTTATGTATTAAGATTAGGGGCAGTTCTCACTCAGGGCCGCCAGTATGTAAATGAAGGATTGAAAACTGTCGTTCCTGATTGGTTAGCTAGTTGTGAGTTGTTACTGTTTCAAGTTAATTAGTATTATATAAAGCGGCCAGCTAGGTTGCAGTCAGTCTGATTCCAGGAGCAGTTCTAACTGCTGCAATAAAGTGCTGTGAATCCAACAGAGCTGTGTCCTTTGTCCATCTTTTCCACTATTCAACAGTTTTTTAAAAGGACAATGGTGCTTTCTGTTGCTGTGAAGTAGTCTGCTTTCTAACAATAGCAAACCTGCTCTTACTGAAGTCATTCCCCATTGAGAAAATGTGTGTGGAAAGGGGAAACACAGGTGACTCCCCACTTATTCATGAGTCACGTTCCAGCCCCCCCCATAAGTGAAATTGTATAAAGTGGGGAGCGTCTCTAAACATCCTTTAGACACCCTCTCTGCTGCTCTCTCTTCAGTCCATACTAAGAATACTATATTCAAAAATATCCACAACTAAAATTGAAGTTCTGTGGCTGGCAAGAGGCTGGAGTATGTGTGGGAAAGCTGCTGCTGCTGTGCCACCCCGCACACCAACTGTTAGGCAGGGAGGCGGAGCAGCGTAAACAAAGCCCCAGTGCACCTCTGGTCTCTTTGGGACTGATGTCCTCCTTGAGTTCTGGGGAGAGTCTCCTTGTGATTCATGAAGACACTCCTGCTCTCTCCCACCATTTCCGGAGTTGAATTGAATTATTCACTTCCCGGCACCACACGTGTATGCAGTCATGTGCAAATGGAACATGCATTAGTGGGGAGGCACCTGTATAATGACCATTAATTAATTAGATACACTTCAATAGAGAAGAAGCTTACAACTACAAGTCACCTGTCAGATCTCAAATGTCTGTTAGGCTAAGGAATCTCACTGTTCCATCCTTATTTCAGGGATTCAGGCATATTTTTGTTGAAGTACAACTCACATAGACCTGCAGCGCAATCACTGACCCACTTATAATCCAGTTGTCATCTATGAAGTTAGATATGTCCATTGCATTTTATATATCTACGTATAAACGTTTCACCCATGCCTGACCATCCTGGGGTGTTAGAAGCAGGGCAGGTGCAACCAGAGAGCATGATCTAACTTCCTTCTTCACTGCATGTAAAATGTTGTCCATTCCAGGCCTCCCTCATGTAAGCTGTTTATACAGCCATATTCTACTTTCTAATTTGAAATAAAATTACAAATAAAAATCCAGCATGTTAATTTGGCTGTTTCATCAGTTCTATAGGCCACTAAATATACGAATAGCCTTGGTTGGAGTGGAAGTCTGGAATGACATGGATAAGTGCGCAATAACCCAAGACCCCTTCACCAGCCTTCATGAGTTTTTGGACTGGCGAAAGTTGAAACTTCTACCTCGTAAACCCCATGACAATGCACAACTAGTGAGGTACGTCCACGGATGCAAGAACTACACACTGAGCAAAGGTTTCTTACTCTAAAAAAAAAAAAAAGTGCTACAAAATTCTAGAAATTCCAGACTGTTCCCACACTCCAGATTGCTCCCAAACTTCCTCACCAGTTGATGGGCCACAGTGGCTCCTTGGTATGGGCTCCTGAGGAGTTGAGGGTGATAAAATGATTGTGTGGCCTACTAGAGAACAAAATAACAGAAGGGTCATAATTAATGTGACCAAACACAGGTGACAATCCTTCTGCAGACTTTCTCTGTGGTGATGATAGTATCAAAGAATCTCACTTCCTTACCGCACAGTGTCAAGCAGGGGCTTTTTCTGGAGGCTGTGGAGTTCAAAACTTAGAGCCCTTGAAGGCTTGCTGTTTATTTCGTGAATAATATCTCTTGTATTCATGCTGACCTTTGACAGAGTCAGAGATGGATGCAGCTAGGACATCATCTAGTCATGTCACTACGGATATTTTTCACCTTGTGCAGTCTTGAGAAACAGCTTGGAGGCCTTCCATTTCTGTCCTGGATTCTTGCCCTTCTTGACTATTGAAATTGGCCAGGGCTGGGCAGGAGACAATTGACTCAGGGGTGGCTAATTCCTTTCTGAGAGAATATAGGTCCTTACTGCACTAAAGGAGAGAGCAGCAAAGCCCTTATTATTGGTTTTGGATTATATTTAGTAAAATAAAGAGGTTACCATTGAATGTGGGCTAAGCCTGCCTTCTAACGTTGAATGTGTTTTATTTAAAAAAATACACCTTTCTTTTCTTCTATCAGTGGAGCTTATTTCCAAGGTACTACCATTGGTATGGCACCAATAATGAGCATGTGTACTGCAGAGCAGTCTGGAGGTATTGTTATGGTAAGTACCAAGTCCATTTCTATTGTTGTTATTTATTGTTGTTATTCTTGTTTCAAGAAATTATGAGAATTTATTAAAGAGAAGCCACTACTTAGCCTTGTAATGAAATGTCATCATTTAATGTTTTCTTAGTTGTCTCCTTTCAGAGCAGTGAACCAAAACCAAAACAGCCTCACAGAATAAAAAATATAAATTTGTAATTTATCTTTTTATTTCTATGCTTTGTACGAAAACTCTCCCAAAATTATTTATGAGGCATGCTGCATTTTTGCTATGGGCCAGAGAGAAATAATTATAAGCACTCTTACCTAATTGCTTATTTTTCAATTTACCAGTAATAGCTTTTATTATAAGTCAGATGACAAAAGACAACAGGTGGTAGTAACTATAACAAAGCTTTTGTGTTATCAGCATAGCTCTTTAGAATATGTTAATGTTTTTGCTGCCTTTCCAGCACAGTGTGTGTGTGCGTTCATTTTAGCTTCTATTACAACTTGTCACTTTTAATAAGTAAGGTGCATGCATTTCAAATTGCCTAAAGTTAAAGATCTTGGGCTTGCCGATCAGAAGAACTGTGGTTCAAATCCCCGCAACGGGGTGAGCAGTGGGCGGTGGGCTCCACGCCGGGAGGAAGCCGCCCAGTGAAGCCGGCTTAGCATTGCTGGGCAGCTTCACAGGGCAGCTTCCTCCCAGCGCGGAGCAGAGTCCACCGCCCACTGCAGCCATACCCGGCGTATAAGACGACCCCCAACTTTTTAACCTCTTTTCCAGGGTTAAAAAGTCGTCTTATACGCCAGAATCTACTGTAGATAAATAGGTATGGCTCCGTCGGGAAGGTAAACTGCGTTTCCGTGCGCTGCTCTGGTTTCAGTGTTCCGTTGCACCAGAAGCGGCTTAGTTATGCTGGCCACATGACCCGGAAAAACTGTCTGTGGACAAACGCCGGCTCCCTCGGCCTGTAAAGCGAGATGAGCGCCGCAACCCCAGAGTCGTCTGTGCCTAGACTTAACTGTCAGGGGTCCTTTACCTTAATCCTGATTAAGTTTTAGAGTGAGATGTAGCAGTGGTTCAAAAGTGGCCAAGGCTGTAGGATACTTATCTGGGCACAAGGCATGCTTATATTTATCTCTCCAGCTAATTAGCACTGGAAACCTATTGTGCGAATGTACTATGGGATATTGAGGGCTGTGCATGCATTTTCTGTCTCAAATGAGGCAGCTGAGGAATAGAAAAGGGAGAAGTTTAAGTGCACTAAGAAGATATGGGCACTGAAAGGGGGGCGGTGAGCAATGGCATAAGTCTGAGTAATAGGGATGGAGGGATATCGGAGGGGTGCTGTTTTTTTAAGAAAACAAACCGGTTTCAACAAGGAGAAATAGCAGAGATAGATACAACACCTTAGCTAACCCATGTTTTCATATTGTAAACTGCCCTGTGACCCTTGGCTGAAGGGCAGTATAGTAAGGTACGTAAGTAAGTAAGTAAGTAAGTAAGTAAGTAAGTAAACAACAACAGAGCCTTCCCGAACTCCCTTCTCAATGTTTTAAACTGCCACTTCCCCTGCCTCAATGATACCCTCTGTTTGTTCAAATGTTTTACAACTGGAAAGAGCTTGGGGGGAAAAAAGAATAAATTAGAAACACATCAATCTCAGTTTTCTTCTAGTATCACATATTTTTCTCATCCTCAGGGTAAATGCTTTCAGTTGTTTAATTCAAAATGTGTTCAAGCAATCTCTTTTGCTGTGACATTGCATTTCCTGTGTTGAAGAAATTGCTCTAGATAACTAGTAAAATTATATTCAAAATGAACCAAATAGTTCTCCCTCTTTACATGGTAATAATGCTGACATGTTAAAGCCCTATCGTTTGCTGCCCTGGTCCATCTGTGGGAGTATGCTTGCTTTTATTTATTGTATAACTGTATTGAATTAATATGTTTACAATACAGAATAAGTGTCTGAAAGCATGAAACATGGTTTGGAGATCAGTTTGCCTTTTCCGGATTAAGAGGAAGCTTAACATTTCCTTGTATACAAAAAGAAAATAGTTGTGTACAGATCAAGCATTTCAAATTCTTCTTCCCTCTTTCTCTACCCACCCCCACTGCCAAATTGATCCAAATTACAATACTGGGTTTTTTTCATTCAACTTCTAAAAAACTACATATGTAGAGTCAGGATTGGTGATATCTGTATTTATTAAATACATTGGTAATTCAGGGCTCATAGGAGTGGAGATGACTCACTCTAGACATTAAAACACTATTATTTGCAAAACAGTACTATATAGAAGGATTTTAAAATGTTTAGCTACCACTTTAGTTTTTCTTTGCGCTGCAGTTGTCTGTAATTGCCAAGATTGCCTTTCAACTTTTTTTTTGAAATTTTTTTTGGGGGGGGTAAGAAGAACTGGACTGATAACACAATTTTGATAACACAATGCAGAGTTTGTATTTGGTATTGAAAGTTTCATGAAATTGAAACTCATCTTTCAAAATTTATTTATATGGTATGCCTGAGCTGAAATGAGAAGGGGGATGTCATTCAGTATTCTTCTCCCTGCAAAAGAGAGTTCTCTTCTGGTAATAATTTGGGTCGGTACACAGACAAGGGCAAAAATGTCCATAGTGTGAGACTGGGGGAAAGGAAACAAAGTCCCAAATTGCCGAGGCTGCAACCTGTAATTGTTTGGCAGCATTGCTCACCTGGCTTCCCGAAACCGAGACTTGCTGCCATTTACTGAGAGGGAGGGGCAGGGAGCTTAGTGTTGCACAGGTGCAGTAGAAGAGCCAATCCAGTGCTCTTGTGCCAGCACGATGCTGAGCTCCCAGCTGTTTTGCCCCTTCACCTCTCCCTCTCAACTACCAGCAGCAATGCATGACATTGAGAAGGCAGGTGAGAACCATTGGCCTGCGAACTGCTATTGGGTGCACTGCAAGGTGCAATAAAGTCATCCACACACTGCAGGAATACAAGAAGAATCAGCCAGCTGCCTCTGCAAAACAGGAGCCTGTTCTTATAACAGTAATGGTACTTCACTTGATCTTAGTGATAATGCTACAATAGCCAAATTTTGATTGAATAAATACTGTTATAACACATCTTACTCAGTAAATGATCCATGATTTACTGGGATCATGCAGTTTGGGAGAGAAAAATGGTATCCAAGAAGCAACAGAGGGGAGAACAAAGTGACTTATGATCAAAATAAAAATAAAAAAGCTACAGTTGTGTGTTTTTTCAGGAACACTTAGTGTCTTCCTGAAAAATGAGTGAAATTTTGGAATGATTCTAATGTATTCAGAAGTACTAAATGACATGCAACATTTGATAAAGTGCATTCAGATTTCAGAGAGTGATGCCTTTTATGAATTGATTGTACTTTCAATTTTTCATTCACTAGAGAGTTCAATTATTCATACTATTAACAGAAGCCCCTTAAACAGAAAATTGTGAAATCCAAGCCAATAATTTATTAGGAGTTTCATTTTACTTTTTAATTAAGCTTTTAGACAGTTCTAAGCTTTTACTCTCTGTACACATCAGAGTGCTTGAAAGGTTATGAAGAAGAGTGATTTTAGATGAATAAATTCATATGTGCTTTTAGAAAAGGCAGATGAACATAGTAATTCCATTTACTGACTGATAAACAGGAGATCAGCCATTTATATTACATGTTTTATGCATTTTTCTTTTTTAGAGAACTTTTATAAGAAGGTCAGTTTTTCAAAAGGAATAGATGGATGCCACAGAGAACAGTATAGAAAAGTTTTTAAATGTTTGTGCCAGTCAACAAAAATAGCTTTCAGTCAACGAAAATAGTTTCTGCAAGAATATTTCTTGTCCAGAAAAAAAGAAATGAATACCACCATTAATTTTATCGACAACACAGACCTTCTGGGGCTTGCCCTGTAAACTGCATGTCATTTGTACTAATGTTCTGGTAGCGTAGCGAGCACATGTTTCCTACTGTCCATTTTGTAGAATGAGCCATTTTCTGATGCGTCACTTCTGCCTTTCGATAAATTAGTTAGGTTCACAAGTACATTTACATCAGTTCATTTCTCTGCAGTTGTTTAATGACACTTGAACATGTGAAATCACACGGTTGAAAAGCATGGCATGAATATGAAACTTCTGTCTTAGAAGGCCCATTCAAGCATTCAAGTCATCACTTGGTCTTGCATTCATCATGTGCATGCATGTGTGAACCAAGCCATGGATGAGTCCATATACCAGCCTCCGTCACAGGACAGTAGGATTGAGGTAGGGGTAAGGAGGTAGCTGGACCTCACAAGTCACCGTATGGGTCTTTCCAGACATGTGGCCCAGTTCATACACAAAAGCAGCAGTTTGAGTGGACCTTTTGAAACCCAACTGTGCAGAGAAAGCTCCATGTTGTGAGCTATTTGTGTAAAGTAGCTTTCAGCGATGCCAGTGCAATCCTGCTGTGTTAGGGATTTGTATTGCTAGACCTGGCACTTACGAAACTATGTCAGGGGCCTACTGGCACATAAACAACTTTCCCTGTGGCACTGCCTCCAGATGACTGCATTTTCAAGCAACTTCTCACTGCTGTCAGCATGGAAGAATAAGGCAAATGGGCAGGATCTTGGTGGTGTTGTTTATTTACCGTAATAACAGTGTAATTACTCTTGCCATGCGCCACATCTATAACAATTAATACCTAATTAGCTTGGTCATTTATCACTGTGTAGACTATATTATTTCATCCTTTTTAATAAAATGCTTTACTCTTATCTCTCTCTATTTTTTGTTTTGTTTTAAGGACCATTCCGACAGCCCTCTGGGAGCAGCAGTAACTCTGGCACATGAGTTGGGCCATAATTTTGGGATGAACCATGATACACTGGAAAGGGGTTGCAACTGCAAAGCATCTGCTGACAAAGGAGGCTGCATCATGAACCCTTCAACAGGGTAAGTGAAAGTACTGAACAAGCTTTGTTTGAAAGGGGAAAAGGTAGCTAGAACTTTGGGTGCAATATAACTTTCCTCTCGCTCTCTTCTCCACCCCAAAATCTGTTCTGGAGGGTTGGGAAGACCCAGAACATATTTAGGGAGCTTGTTGTAAGACAAGAGGCTGAGGAATTTCTTTTCCTCAGCCAAAATAGCTTGTGCTATTTAGTTGGATACAGTCCTTTGTTTTTATTCCAGGAAGCATTTTAAGCAAAGGTTTGCATCCTGTTTATGCCAATTAGACTTTATCACAGACCCTTCTCCATAATCTGTGACAAATTATGTTGTTGAGAGGGAAACTTTAATCCCTAGAGGATAGCTTTAATCCCCCTCTTTGTTATTAAAAGAAAATGTGCAAAGCAATTACCGTATTTTTCGCTCTATAACACGCACCTGACCATAACACGCACATCGTTTTTAGAGGAGGAAAACAAGGGAAAAAACATTCTGAATGAAACAGTGGATGTATCATTTTTGTGCTTCATGCTGTGGCCACAGACATGTGATCTGATGGTGAATTTGGGGTGACCCAATGCAAAGATCCTGAGGATCCCTGTGGATCCATGCTTTGTAACCACGTTTTTGCACCATTGCAGCCCCAGGCAACAGTGGGTGCGTGCTTTTTTTGGTGCAGGCTGTAGCCATGGACATGCTATGTGATCTGATGGTGAATTTGGGGTGACCCAATGCAAAGATCCTGAGGATCCATGTGGATCCATGCTTTTTAACCACATGTTTGCACCATTGCAGCCCCAGGCAACAGTGGGTGCGTGATTTTTTTGGTGCAGGCTGTAGCCATGGACATGCTATGTGATCTGATGGTGAATTTGGGGTGACCCAATGCAAAGATCCTGAGGATCCATGTGGATCCATGCTTTTTAACCACGTTTTTGCACCATTGCAGCCCCAGGCAACAGTGGGTGCGTGATATTTTTGGTGCAGGCTGTAGCCATGGACATGCTATGTGATCTGATGGTGAATTTGGGGTGACCCAATGCAAAGATCCTGAGGATCCATGTGGATCCATGCTTTTTAACCACGTTTTTGCACCATTGCAGCCCCAGGCAACAGTGGGGTGCGTGATTTTTTTGGTGCAGGCTGTAGCCATGGACATGCTATGTGATCTGATGGTGAATTTGGGGTGACCCAATGCAAAGATCCTGAGGATCCATGTTGATCTATGCTTTGTAACCACATTTTAAGTGGGGAGCGAAGGAAAAACAAAGAAGGGACATGAGAGGGGTGTGCAGAGAAGCAGCTGGCTAAGAATGCTAGAGAGGGATTTAACGGATGGGAGGCAAAAGTTCCCCCCAAGCCAGCCATCTCTCTCTCTCTCTCTCTCTCTCTCTCCCTCTCTCTCTCCCCCTCTCCCTCCCCCCCTCTCCCTCCCCCACTCTCTCTCCCTCTCCCCCAGCAGTACCGGAGCACAGAGACGACACTTTCCCCTCTGCTTGCCTGGAGGGGAGGGGCTTTCCCTGCTCTTTGTTCCGTTTCAGCAATCACAGCAACGAAACAGAGGAGGGTGGGCAGTAAGACCCTGAGGCAGAATACAGGAAAGCTGCCACTTCCTCTTTTCAGGTTTCCCTTCTCCGTGACTCGCGATTTGACTTTTGCTTGATTTTTTGGCTCCAGGGACCACACATTCGCTCCATAACACGCACAGACATTTCCCCTTCCTTTTTAGGAGAAAAAATCTGCGTGTTATAGAGGGAAAAATACGGTAACTTGTATTATTGTTGTTGTTTTCCCCTACTAGTATGGGAGAAAAAGCAGGGGAGGTCATAAGAAATAAACCATAGCAAATAGGGGAGCAGGTTTGGTGCTTGTTTATCTGTGTTTCCTGCTGCAGAACTGCATTAATACCAAGAGCTTTCAATATAAACTGAAGACAATCTTTGTTTCTGTGATGTCTGATGTGCTTTCTTTCATCTCAATTGGCTGGGGTCTCACTAAAGTTGCCTCAGTCCAAAAATGCAATTGTTACCCAGTGCATTCTTCATTCCCAGCCATCTTTCACAGCTGATAGAGTTATGACAAGTGAGATCAATTTAGTATGCAATTTGCTAGGTGGAGGTGCACGGTATCTCAGAAGTAAATGCTATAAAGAACTACTGAAGCATGTTAGTCATGAAAGGAAGGTTTTCTCTTCTCTTTTCTTTTTTTTAACTTCAGCCTTTGAAATTTGAGGATGCCTTCATGCTTTCTGTTCAAAACAAGAGTTTTAGTGATGTGACTAAGGGGTCACCCAGACTTGCGCTTGTGCTGTGCCTAGAAAGTACAGGGCTCAGCAGTTTTCTGCTTGACCCACGCTTTCTAGGCACGGGTCCGATTGCTTTTCCCCTTGCCTTGCTCCTTTCCAAGGGAAAACCTGCTCTTCATCAATAAATAGGAACAAATAGCAATCCAAGGAAAACCCGAATTGCCATTTGTTCTGATGGAGCACTAAAGAGCAGTTTTCCCAAGGGGAGGAAGCAGTGGGACAAGAGGAGGACAAGTATGTACACCTTAGTATCTTAAAATGCAGTGAGGCCACCCCCCTGCCCCCATTGCATTTCAAGTTGCATTTGCGCTTCTTGTACATACTGGGGGGGGCAGGGGTGTCTTCACCCTGTACAAGTGTTATAAATAGATGAGCACATGTTTAATCACCAGTGTATAGACGTATCTGAACATTCAAATAATACATGATCAAATTCTTTCCCGAATAATAAATATTCAGAAATGACAGGAATGTGCAAGCTAAAGCAGCTTCAGAAATGTATTTCTTCCTCCAGGTCAAGCAAACTCCTAGTGTACACGCAGAACTTTTTAGATCCACAGACATTAGTGACTCTTTTCAATGGGTTTTCTCATTACTCTTGGAATTGCTCATCCAGCTGGTCAAATGGAATATTTCTAACACTGTTTAAATTAGGTTAAACTTTGGGTCTATGGTTTATTTGATGGCATGAAATGTTTCATCCTCTCTTCTCCCTAGGATCCAAGGCATATATCTGTGTATTTGGGATCAGTGCTAGCCTATCTTCTGCTTCATTTCACCTTGGGCTATTGCTTTTCTATCCTATTCATCCAGCTCTTAGCCTTCTCAAGCCATAGATTTTTCAGGGGGTAGAAGTGACTGCTACAGTCATTTTTGAGGAAGAGGGTATGGACATTGCACTTCTTCTTTTTTTACTTTGTGCCCAATAGATATCTGTAATTCAAATAAGCTGATGAGAAAAACCAGCTTGGATTAAAATTATTCCATTCACCTTAACTTTGAAGTTAAGTCTAACGAAGGAAAATGTTCAAAGGGTTATTTTATTACTTCAAATGGTGTTTCGTTAATTATTGTGATCTCCTTTTCAGTTTTCCAGTTTTAATCATTGAAGAGTCCAGCATTAAAAACTTGTGTTAGAAATGAGTTCTTGGTAGAAGCAGTCTCGGGATCAGTGCTGTATTAAATTCTGCTGGATCTGTCCGTTAATGAGCTTCCTGTAGGTGTACGTTTCAAAAGGAACCAGTAGGACATGTATCATTTTTACCACAAAATGTTTTAAAGGTTTGAGCACATTTAGCAAAGCACACATGATGTGTTATTTTATAAGGCATTATGGCTTAAAGAAGAAAGCAGACAGAGTGATCCTGACATTCAGATTATTTCTGGCTACAAAAATAAATCACAGTACAGGAGAACATTTTCAAGAAAAGAATTGCAACCAAAAATGCTTAATGAAGAGAAATTAGTTTTTGTAAACTGACATCTTTGTAATGGTAGCTTTGTCTTTCTTTAAAACAAAATGTTAACTTTGGGGCAATAGTATAGGGCCTAGTGTTGTATGTGGGATCTTAAAGGCTCTGTGCTCCAGGGGGAATGGTATGAAAGTGAGTGCTAGGAAGGAGGAAAGGGGAACACAGAGGACAAGGAAGGTCCAAATAAACTTTTTTTTTTTTGGTCCAGATAGAAAAATAATAGAAAATCACAAAATCAATTGCTGTCTGTTTGAAAGGTCTTGTTCTACCTAGATCCCTTTGAGGAATTTATAACAAAGTTCTATCTCCACTCAGGAAAAAGGAAATAAGAAAATAATAATAATATTGGAGGGCAGTCTGCAGAAGTTGCATTGCAGCCCTCTGCTAGTGGTCAGAGGCAAAGGCCAGGTTTAGGGTTTCAACTTTGAATGACGTAGACTGGGATGAGGTCCTTGGAGTTGGTTAGCAGCAAGAAGGAGAAGGAGCGGGCAGAACTCCAAGTGAGCTGGGAATGATGGGCTGGAACAAAGAGGCGCAGAGTATGGGAGGTGTTTTGGTATTTTTGGCCTTCCTTTGAATCCAATGCTGCCCTTAAGGGAGAAGCCAGACCCTCATAGGATGTGAATGCTCTGCAACCCCTCCATCTAGGTGCAGGTTGTATATCTGTGTAAATAAAACCATATCAGAAGTGGAAAACCCCCCAAACCACTATGTTGACTCATGGCAAGCTAGAATTTGGGAAATGGTATACATGGTGAAATTAACTAACTTTGTCAGAGAAGGCAGATAAAAATGGAGCAAGTTTATTGAAAAAAAATGAAGAAGTTTATTTGTTTTGAGATTTGGGACCGGAGGAGGGAGAAGAAAAACGAGAAGCCCAGTTAGACAACTGGGCAGTTAGACAACGCAATCCCCATTGTGTGCAAGTAGCTGGACATCATTGGGTGCCGCCCAGGCAGTCTTGAGATGTAGCTGAATATTGTGTTACCAGTTTTGTAGCTGTCTTCTCTGGTCTTGTGAGTTTTCCAAAGACAAATCAATTTTGTTACACCCATATTGCACAAGGAACATCCTGAGCCAGCATCAATGAATTTAAAAGCGCTGCATCATTTTCGTTAGAAATATTGCCAGGCCAAATTGTTTTTGTCTCTGCTAGCCTCCTTAATGGAATTTGTGTCTCGTTTCTTTTCCTGGTTTTTTTTTGGGGGGGGGAAGGGTCATACTTGGAC